TGGAGGAAGTGCAACTGAAATGCTCCTTGGAAGCAAGAATGGCCAGACTTTGTCTCACCTATTTTGGTCATGTTGTCAGAAGGGACCATTCCCTGAAGAAGGATGTCATGCTTGGTAGGGTGGAAGGTTGACGAAAGAGGGGGAGGCCTTCAACGAGATGGACTGACACGGTGGCTGCGATGATGGGCTCATGTATAGCAAGGATCATGGAGCTGGCGCAGGGTGGGGCAGTGTTTCATTCTGCTGTGCATGGGGTCACTATGAGTCGGAAATGACTCGACGGCACCTAACAACAAGTTCCCTTATTGAGTATTGTCGTTGTTGTTGTTATGTGCCGTCTTTTTTATTTTGGTTTTAACAATGTGAATAAATATGTTGATATTTATATGCAAAAATGATAAAACTGACGTGTCCTTTGAAATAAAAACACTTTGAGTTATTTTGATGATGCTGGTAAGAGATTTATCTTGTCAACTTTGTGACCAATAATGTCCTGAACAGAAAAACAGTAGTGATTCTAATTTTTAGTTCATATACACATGACCTTATATCCTTATTCAGGAGCTCTGGTGGTACAGTGCCTAAGGCAATTAACTGCTAACCACAAGGTTGGTGGTTCAAAACCACCAACCACTCTGTGGAAGGAAGATGGGGCAATCCACTCCCATAAAGATTTACCACCTTGGAAACCCAATGTGGGTAGCTATGAGTCGGAATCAACTTGAATGCAGTGGACTTGTTTTTTTTCGTTTTATGTCCTTATTAAAACATCCGACTCTCAAGCTTCAGCCTCAGAAATTATGACTCAGTGCATTTTGACCCTTTATTCTCCTAAATATTCAGAAACATCATTTTGTAAAAATTTGTTAATATACATATTTGAAACTGCTTGGTTTTTACTTACTTGGAGTGAATCAGTTTTGAGTTTTCCTTTGTGTTCCTCAGATGAGCGCAACACTTCCCTGTACAGATCTGCTGCCAAGGCAAACTCCCCTGAGGGAGTGAGGGCATGGAAAGGATAAGAGAGTTATGTATTTAGCTCGTAATGACATCTATTTCATATTATGAAAATACATCTACTGTAAATATTGATTACAACTATTTCTTTTTTTACGTAAAGGAATTTCACATGGCATTAATACAATCATCCCAGTAAAATAAACTAATGGTAGTTCCTGTTTTTGTTAATTGCAAGGAACAGAAAACCAATCAAATATATTTACAATGTTGTAAAATTATATTAAAAGATAAACTATGGATGAACTTTTTAGAGAAATAATTTATCTCCTACTGAGGTTAAAAGGGACTGATTGGCCGTTACGACATCTGAAATTACAGACAGATTTAGGGTCAATAGAGGCATTTATTAAGGAACTCTGGTGGCACAATGCCTAAGGCATTTGACTGCTAACCAGAAGGCTGGTGGTTTGAACCCTCCAGGCACTCTGCAGAAGGAAGATCAGGCAATCTATTTCCATAAAGATTTACAGCCTCGGAAACCCAATGGGACGCGACTTGATAGCAGTAAGTTTGGTTTTTTGGTGAGAGGCATTTATCAGCAAATCTTTAAGACTCTGTAGGCAAACTATACTTAATTTGCAGAAAAATAATATATTCTTCTCAGCAGGTGCTGTTCTTCTTGGCATTAGACCAAAATAATTTGTATTTAAAGACTACATTTCAGAACTTAAGAGATTGTTCTTTCTGGTTACACATATCACAATCAGTCTGAGATACATGTTGTTTTCTATTATTTGTAATTAGCAGGTCACTCAGAAATTGGTATTAAAAATATTTAAAAGTATCAATTAAAGCACAGGTTAGCAAACCATGGCTCACCTGACATACATGGCTCTCCACCTGTTTTTGTATGGCCCATAAGCTAACAATCATTTCACATTTTTAAATGGTTACCCCCCCAAAAAAAAAATCAAAAGAAGAAAAATGTTTAGTGATACATGAAATTATATGACATTTCAGCGTCCAAGACTGAAGTTTTATTGGAACCTAGATCCAATAAATGGAACTTGCTCATTTATTGATTGTCTGTGGCTGCTTTTGTAATACAGCAGCAGAGCCAAGTAAACCAAAAACCAAACTCACTGCTAGAGTAGATTCCGACGCATAGCGACCCTTCCTGGGGTTTCTGAGGTGGTATCTCTATGGAAGTAGACTGTCCAACCTTCCTTCCGAGGAGTGGCTGGTGGGTTTGAATCGACAGCCTTCTGGTTAGCAGTCTAATGCCTTAGGCACTACGCCACCAGAGCTCCTGTACAGCCAAGTAGTTGTGACAAAGATCCTATGGCCTAACAATTTACAGGAAGAGTCTGTTGAACCCTGAATCAAAGGAGAGCTGAAGCACGCTTAGTAGCTTAGATAATAGAACCTAACTGACTTGTTGCCTATGGAAAAATCTAGAAATGGTAACTTATAAACACAATTTAAACTGTAACAGTGGCAAAACCATGAAAACAGACACAAAGAAAGGTGCAGGCTTGTTTCAGTGTCAGCTTGCCAAGAAAGTTTTTATTTCCTGATGATTTTATACACTTGCTTTTATGCTGTTGCTTTATACCTAGGTCTAGCAGTTACCTAAAGAAAACATTCTAAACATACATTTTCACAGTGCTTTATAGTCAGCAAATTTCTATTCAATTTCATGAGGGAGATAATTTTCACAGTAAGAAAACCACAACATAATGCAGAAGTTAACACTCAGTATCTTTTGCAGTTTTCTTTAATTTTTAGATCCTCAATTAAAGTTTTCAAAAGATATGTGGATTCTCTTAGTATTTATACTACCATTCAGAGAGGAAAATTCATTTAACTATTCTCTCTTCATAATTCAAAAACAGTTGCCAGGGAACTGCCAGAAATTCAAGCTGGATTCAGAAGAGGACGTGCAATGAGGGCTTTCATTGCTGATGTCAGATGGATCGTGGCTGAAAGCATAGAATACCACAAAGATGTTTACCTGTGTTTTACTGACTATAGAAAGGCATTTGACTGTGTGGATCATAGCAAATTATGGATAACACTGCAAAGAATGAGAATTCTAGAACACTTAATTGTGCTCATGAAGAACCTGTACATACAGTAAGAGGCAGCTGTTCAAATGGGACATGGAGATACTACACGGTTTAAAATCAGGAAAGGTGTGTGTCACGTTGTATCCTTTCACCCTACTTATTCAATCTGTATGCTGAGCCAGTAACCTGAGAAGCAGGACAATACAAAGAAAAACACAGCATCAGGATTGGAGGAAGACCCATTAACAACTTGCAATATGCAGATGACACAACCTTCCTTGCTGAAAGATGACTTGAAGCATTTATTGAAGAAGATCTAAGATTATGGCTTTCAGTATGGATTACACCTCAACATAAAGCAAACAAAAATCCTCAGTACTGGGCCAATAAGCAATTTCACAATAAATGGAGAAAAGATTGAAGTAGTCAGGGATTTCATTTTACCAGATCATGTGTTGTACTGGGCAAATCGTCTGCAAAGGACCTCTCTGAAGTATTAAAGAGCAAGATGTCACTTTGAAGATTAAGGTGCACCTGACAAAACCATGGTATTTTCAATAGCCTCATTTACATGTAAGAACCGGACAATGAACAAGGAAGACCAAAGAAGAACTGATATAGTTGAATTATGGTATTGGTGAAGAATACTTAGTGTAATGTAACCTGCTGGATGAACGAAAAGATCTGTCTTGGAGGAAGTGCAGCCTGAATGCTCATTAGAAGTGACAATGCACAGCTTTGTCTCTCATAGTTTGGTCATGCTGTCAGAAGGGACCAGTCCCTGGAGAAGGATACTATGCTTGGTAGAGGGTCAGCGAAAAAGGGCAGACTCTCAACATGATGGACTGACACTGTGGCTGCAACAACAGGCTCAAACATGACAATGATCGTGAGGATGGTGAAGGACCGGACAGTGCTTCATTCTGTCGTACACAGGGTTGCTATGAGTCAGAACTGACTCCACAGCACCTAACAACAACAGCAACCATTCATAATTACCACCCTTGAAGGGTGTAACAGTGACTAATTTAGAGGATAAGCAGCTGAACTTGAACTACTCCAATATCGTATCTTTTTTTTTTTTTTAAATATGTATTAAAAAAGACATGCTCTCTGAAGGGGTAAAAAACAAACAAACAAAAAAAACACCAAAAATATGCATATTTAATAAGTTATGCTACTTTAAGTCAAATTTGGAAATACTCATTTTTAGCCACTTGATAGCAATGATATTTCCAAGAACACAAATTGTTAGCGATTTGATATTACCAAATTATTTTCTCTCCATAAGTGTCTGCAGAAAGCATAGTATTCAAAAGTGGAATAATATCATGTATTTAATGCTACCATCAACAAGGACCTTAAAGTAAGCATTGTATGGCAAACATATTTGCATATAATTCAGCAAATCATTCTGCATTTGAAATTTAGATTTCTTCACTAGAAGTCTAATCTGAACATTGGAATAAATTCAATTATGTCAGAAAGGGCACATCTTTTATTAAAAGGGTTTGTGGTAGGGATTTTTCTTAACAATGAGCAATAGATGGCAACCACGACAGGCATGCAAAGTACACCAATATGCCTTCTGTCACTCAATTACACACTGACTGTGCTGGGGCCACAGTTTTAGGAAATGAACAATGAATGAGCTTTGGCCCAACCCCCCATCACGTATAATTTCACAGCAGGGAAAAGGGACAATAAATCTGAAAAGAAGACAAGAAAAAAGGGCATGGGAAGAAATTCATTCACTGTCCAAACTCCCGCATCCTAACAACAAAGAAAGAGAAATGCAGTTTTATAAATCGTGATGGGAAAGCTGAAAATTTCATTACTGTGACAATTTATAATCTACTACTCCATTTTAGAAATTTTCAGTGTGAGTTTCAATCTCCTACAGAAAGCATATTGTGAGATTTATAAATGCCTACTCGATAAAAATGCTGATACAGCATAATAAAAAAATTAAATACACAATGTGAAAAGGATACAGGGCAGATTCTGATACTTGTTGGCTGTAATCTTGAAAAAACTAATAAGTCTTTTTAAATTTGAATTTCTTTATGGGGATAATACATCAACAATTGGGCAATTATGAGGGTGAAATAGAATAATACCTATGAATGGTATGTAAAATGTAAAATACTTAGGGAAAAACGATCACTTTTCAGATATGAGGCAGTATTTTAATGACCCCAAAATATTTTAAACAGTACATTAATTATTCATATATTTTCAAGTAAATCTAGGTTAAGCACAGATATTTTTCATTTAAATAGTCAAGTTATTTAGATAGTCTAGAGACTAGATAGTCTCTAGTTTTCAATGGCAGTAATACCCCTCAATTAATTTGGGACTATGAGAAACTGGTACTAGATATAAAACTGATTTCCTAATTTTAGCCTAATGATTTTTATCTCTAATTCTCTACTTAAGAGTCACTTTATTTAGTCTTTCATTATGGATTTAAAGACAATCTGAAATGTTTGTATAGTCACTTAGCAACAGAGATAGCAATGAAGATGACGGACATGAAGGATTATTGGAGAAATGTGAACTTGCCAACACCACTGGCTAAATTGAGTATTTTCTAGGGAATATTCTAGGGAAGATTTGTTCAGAGAAAGTTTCATGTGCTAATATTTGACCAGTTTATCAGGAATACAGCGTAAGATGGTCTTTTCTCCTCTTACTAATACTGGTGATAAAATCTGCATGCTGAGTACAACACGTGGCAGGAATCTGAGGTGTCTTTACAGTACAGAATCAATTACATTTTTCACTTATGTTTCTGCATCATTTTCAATGTACTTCCACTTTCACTTCATACTAAGAACAATACTTTGAGGGAGTCTACGCATATGGTATACCTTTGTTTTATTGATAAGGAAAATGTGGTTCAGAAAATAATATACTCAAGTTCACAGAGCTAGAAGTGTAGCAGGTAAGGGGCCACATCTTTTTGAGTTCTTGTCTAAAGTTCCTTCTAATTATTTTCTGAGAGTCTTTCTAATTAATGACATTACTCAAGTAGCCAGGACAACACCACTTTCTAGTTCTTGCTTCCTTACACTGAGGAGCCAATAACTAAAGACAGTCAACATAGTCTAACAAGGCTTACAACATTTCCTTACATTCTACAGAAAGCACAAATTTCTCTGGGCAACTGAGTTTTTGCAAATGTTATTAAGTACATGAATGTAGTGGTCAATTCTCTCCATGACTCTGTGTACCCAACTAGACTCACAGAGGAGAAGCCTTGGGAAAAGACTGACAGAAGGAACTGGAATTTATTATGAAATGCCTTTCCAGTTTTAACACTATAATGATGTCATAACTCCACAGATTCTGTGAGGAATGAAGAAATATATATGTGTTTGAATATCAAAAATAACCAAAATGTTTAAATATAAATTATTTCACCATTAAAAAATGATACTTATTTATATGATTTGAAGATGTTAGTTAGTCTAGTTAGTTTTAGAAAGATTAAATTCTCTTAATCAGTACTACCAGAGAAGGTTTTTAAAAGCAGCTTTGAATATATCCGATACCTAAACTACTTGAGTAATTTCCTCATTGCTGTAAGAAAGCTCCTTAGAGTCACTTGGTATAAAAGGTAAAATGTCCCCTACTGTCTCCAAATATAATTGCAAATCTTTAATAACAGACTGAAGTAGTTGTTGAAAAGAGTATTTAATGATTCATTAAACTTTAAAGAAAGTGACACTTGATTTCAGATAGTCAGAAAGTTATTAGTCTTGTGAAGAAAGTCTAGAACAAATTTCTGCAGTGGACAGATGGCTCTAACACAGATAGAGGCACTGAGTTAATTCTAAGTTTACAATGAAATAAGCAGAGGTGATGGAAATGGATCTAATGAATAAATGAGGTAACAGAAAGTCAATTTTTTACTTTTCATGGTAACTCCATCAAACACATCTCATTTCATAGGGCACAATTTTTTCTTAGTTCCTAATGTTTGCTAGAGCAAATGGTGTAACCTATAAGATTTTTTGTGCTAATAATAGGAACTTGTCTCCAGTTAGATTTTGCTGGCTGAGAGGACTTTTATAGCTACTTATATAGTTGTTTTTTTTTACAGTCGTTAAAAAACTTTGTTCACTTATTATTGTAAATACTATACTGACCATGATGGAAAAATGAGAAAATATGAAAAAATATTAAAAAGAAAATATACAGCATTCATAATCTACCACAAATAGCATGAGCTAACACGTTTCTTACATTCAATTTCAGGTGAATTTCTCTCTCTCTCTCTCTCTCTCACACACACACATACACAAAACAATATTCTTCATTAAAGTATAAGTGAGATTATTCCACAGTCTTACCACTTACTTTTTAAAACAGTTCTAATGAGATATGGATGCTTACAATAAATTATACAAATTTAAAGTATACAATTTGGTAAAGTATACAGTTTTGATACATGCAGACATCACAATCAAGATCCTGAACATACCCAGCACCTTTAGAAGATGCCCTCCTCCCACCCTGCAGTCCCAGGCAACCTCGGGTCGGCTTTCTGTCACTATATATTAGTTTGCATTTTCTATAGTTTTCAATGTGTTGAAATTTAAACATTCCTCTCTACCTAGACATGGAGGATGTTTTCAATTGTTCACTGTTTCACACTATAACAATTACAAAGCTATTCATATCCTTATATGCCTAGGAAAAACTTCTAGAAGTAGAAATACTTGGTCAAAGCATAGGTAACATTTTAAGGTTTTTGAAATGTTCTGAGTGACTGCTGTCCGTTAAATTGAACCTACATAAGGTACCATCAGTAGTGTGTGAGAGTACCCTTTGGGGGGTATTTTTGATTTCTACTGTAAATAGCCTTGTTCAGCAAGTATTCAGGAGAATCAGAGATGAGCAAGCAGTCACCTTCTACCTTTAATGATGTGGACGCCTGCTAGGCCATTGAGGGCACACACGAGCTGCCGATGTGCTTCTTCACACTCAGTCCCACATTTCTTCTGCAGAGATGTCAGCAGTTCTTCCATTGTCATGGTGCTAGAAGAAAAGACAGACTGTTCAAAACTGGAAAGAAAATCCTGAGTGTTTTTTCAGTGTGTGTACTGTGTCACACAAGACTTTTCCAGGGTCTTTGTGGTATCTTTAGCACCTTCCCTTCACCTTCATTTTAACAACCATCACTGTGAATGCAACTTGTTTTCACTTCTTACTTGTTCTTTCAGCAAGCAACCATCTATGTGATCCCATCATCCTTAAAAGCTTTTCCATTTCAGTCAGTACCGTAGAATGAAACTAGAAAAATCATCCTTAAGTGCAACATGTTATGTATGGGTATTAGAATGTAAGACTGCATTTGAATTTCAACATTACAACTTATTTAATCTCTCGAGACAACATTTTTTTTTTATCTGTGAAGAAATGGATCAGGTCAAATGACCCAACAGCAAAAGGCTAACTCAAACCACTAAGTCAGAAATGGTTTCCTACTTTAAATGTCCATAGCAATTTCTATGTACTTCTTAGGAAATTTATCACATTTATCTATAATCTTGTCATCTCCTTTACTTTTCTGTAACCTGCTTAAGGACAAGGACAAAATCGATTTCCTGTTGGTATCTCTCATAGCACCAGGAAAGGGTGTCAAGCTAATAGCAGGTGCTATGAAAAGGTCAGTTCCAAAGTCATAGTCTGATCCACAAAGAAATTCCTGGGACAACAGAGTAATGTGGAAATAAATGCCTCAGCATTGTCAGAATTAATAATCAAAGAGATATAGTTAGCACAATCATAAAGAAAATATTTAACAGTAAGCACTTAATGACAATGGAAAATATTTAATGGTTCCCCTGATATGGGAACCAAGAAATAACAAAAAATAAAAGAACAAAAACTTCTCACAGTTGGAGTGCAGCAATAAAAATAATGACGATACTACTAATTTTAAAAGAAATGTTCAAAACCATGAAAAAAAAATTGATGATGTGATTTTCCATCACAGATGGGGCTCTGTAACAATAGAAAATCATCACACTGCTAAAAATAACTGACAAATCAGTGACAAGCCTCTGAATGAAACTTTAGTGGTTCTTTAGTTAAAGACTAAATTGTATTTCAAAAATGTATACTGATGGTTAGAAAGTTGGAGGAAAACAGAGTCATATCAATATAATAACAACACTTGATAAACCAAATTTCAAATTTCAAGCCAATATATAGCTAAAAACTTAATGTTTATTATAATCTACAGTTTATGTGATTATTTTGCACATCTCATGAGAGGCTCTAACCAAAAAGAAAGACATCTCACTTTAGGGGGAACAAAGAGAAGATTAAAGTTGCATGATGATGATATATCAGTATGTTTCCTAATCCAATTTCTTCTGATCACGAAGAGTCATTAAAGACAATTTCCTTTTTTTTTCTTTCTTTACTATTGATCTAAATGCACAGATGCCTTGACCCAAGTCTTCTAGGCAGTCTTGGAGCAGATAATTAAAAGAGCCAACAGGATTGTCACAAAAAACTTACTTTAATCAATTCCTAGAAAGAAACACCTCTAACAAGGGCTGTTTGCAGAAAGACGTGAAAGCAGGCCTAACCACACCCTTTACAAGGTCTGCTCACAAGGTTGTCCCCTGGCTGGCATCCAGGAATGTGGATTTGAGGAAGGTTCCCACCATTCCCAGAACTGAGGAGTAGGGCTCATTGTGCTTCAACTGTTTGCACAAACATGGTTTATGTTGAACACCTGAATTCCCTCTGGGAGTGTAGAATTTTGACACAGCCACCAATAAAAACTCTGCCCTGAGTTGCTAATGAGCTTCCCTGGTTGGCAACATTTCACACACACTGTCATAACCCATGCCACTGCTGGTGACATTAAGCGCATCCTATGGGACTCCACAGAAATGGGAAGCTTGAGCCAGGTGTCCCTCAGGCTTTGCTCTGTGCACCTCTTCCCTCTACTGGCTGTGCTTGGTATCCTTCCATCGTAATACATCATAGCTATGAATTTGACTACGTGTTCTCCAAATCGATTACTGAACCTGAGGTGGTGGGGAGATCTCTGAAGCAACGTGTTTCCCCTACTGTCTCCGTAACTTCACTCAGTATCTTAACCAGTGTTTTTCTTCTTCTAATGTATTTGTTCGGAGCTCTGGTGGCGTACTGCCTAAAGCACTTGACTGCTAACCAGAAAGCTGGAGGTTCAAACCCACCAGCCACTCCTCGGAAGAAGGCTGGACAATCTACTTCCGTATGATACTGCCTTGGAAACCCAAGAAGGGGTCACTATGAGTCGTCCATGGCAGTGAGTTTGGTTTTTTTGGTTTGGAATGTATTTGTTAAGCCATTCTTTTCTAGAAATACTGCTTCTAAAAACAGTAGTTTAAGTTTAGGCTGTTCCTACTGCATTTCACAAGTATATCAAATAGTTTAACTGTCCAGGTTACTTAGTATTTTTCTAGGGAAAAAAGGCCAGAATTAGACAAATTTCTGTTTCTGGTCTATTTCACTCCCATTCTAACTTCTCTGTAACCCGGGAGCGAAATGCTACTGCATGACGATGATACTGTGCCTACCTCTTCCCTGCTGCATCCGGCAGATGCAGCAGAATGACAGTCAAAACATTAACATCATTCCTGGTCATTCACTGTGTTCTGAAAGTATTACTAAAAAATTATCACAGTAGAAAACACCATGGGCTAAGGAATGGGTCCAGAAGAGAGAAATACATACACAATAACATCACATACAGAAGAGAAACCATACAGCACATTGGTTAAGTATGTTTAGTCAAATACCATCCATGGAATTAGAGATACACGGGTTTGAGATCAGGCTCTGCCACCTTCAGTGTGGTCCTGAACAAGTTCACTAACCTCCACAAGCCTCAATTTTCTCAACTGTAAATGGAGATAATGATTGCACAACTGGAAGTTTTTCAGGATTAAATGAGTTAATGTGTATAACATGCTTACCCCAGTGCCTGGCACATTAGCTAGAATTCACTGTGTGCATACTAATATTACAGTGAATACGGGTAGTCCCCAACTTAGGACAGGGTTCTGGTCCAACAACAACTCTGCTGTAAGTTGGTTCTGATGAAGTCCAACATCTCATTTTTTTTTTTTAAGTTTTCATTATTACTGGCTTATATTATCAGTATCTTTATACATATGACCTTTTTTATTAGTCTTTGAAGGTTAGAAACATTATGTCTGAGAATAACATCAGCAAATGACACACTGCAACACTGTATGTAGGACATATTACTAACCATAAGATATACAAAAAAAACCACCCACCATTAGTCATAAGTCACCATTTCATCATAACTCAAATACATCGTAAATTGGGGACCACCTGCAGATTAGTTTAGGACTGAAGCTTACTCCTACGGTTTCACATGTCTTCTGTTCAGCAGAGGAGAGTCTAATATTTTTAAGTATGCTGGGAAGCAATAACAGAGTTCTGGTGGCATAGTACCTAAGGCATTTGACTGATAACCAGAAGGCTGGAGGTTCAAACCCACCAGTCACTCCTGGGAAAGAAGGTTGGGCAATCTACACCTGTAGAGATACTGCCTTGGAAACCCAAGTAGCTGTCGCTATGAGTCAGAACTAACTCAATGGCAATACTTTTTTTTTTTTTTTTTTGGGGGAAGTAACACTGTAAAAAAGTTCCTCTGAGGAGGGGAATAGAAAAGTAAAAGAAAATCCACATGTCCTTCATATTAATTACATAATGATAACTGTCAAATGCCCATTTGGTCCCAGAACAGAAAATGAAAATGTCCTGATTTATGAAGTGCATTGAGCGTACTATGGTATATTTTTAAGGATTCTTCTAAGCAGAAATGCCACATTTCTGACATAAGAGGATCAGCCATAGCAAATAAATAAATTATTCACGGGAATGCACTAAGACCTTAGTCAAACAACATTCATTTTCGTTCATAAGAATGACGATGGCATTCCTATGCTACAGAATTTGTCAATGTTTTCAGTTTTTTTTTTTGCTCTAAGTGTTGAAAAAATGGAATCTGATAAAATAGACTAGACAAGTATGAGCAATGTGACAGATAAAAAGCAGCTGATTTTTATCAGCTGCTTTTTATCAACTAATTAAGTGTTAAGCATGAATGATAGTTCTAACTTACTGATAAAAATAATCCAGTGCAACTTCTAAAAGGACTGGTAGATATCCACTAATTTAAAAAATTTCTAAGAAAACAACTTCTTAACTACTACTTGATTTTTCACTAAATGGAAAAATAAAAAAAAGCTTTCCAAAGTCCTTGCATATCTATGATAGTCTGTTTATCAAAGTAATCCCAGTTTTACAGTAAGAGAAAGGTTACCTGCCTACTCAATCTGTAACTCAGATCCTTTATACAGCCCAGAGGCAATTCCATACAACAACCAGATGTCAACACTACTCAAATACACAGACAGTCCAAGGGTAATTATGCTTTGGTATTAAGAACTTGGGAACAATACTTGTACTTTTAGTTGGTTAGGAGACTGATGGCTTAAATATTGTCATTATTACTTTATTATTAATTATGCTATAGAGAAATTGATAGAAGAACCTTTTCTGGAGTGGTAAGAACTCCCCACGAACTGCCTGTGGGTGGCAGCAGGCCTGCCTGAGCCTCAGCAGTGGATACAGGATAGAGGTGACTGTCCGTCTGTCCAGGCTGCTGAGCTTCAGAGCCCAGTCGGAAATCTTCCTGAGCTTTGCCACTGCATCCTGGCAGCACACCTCGTGCTGGCGGTGATAGAAATGTCTCTCCACTGGAGAAAAGTGGAGCCAGTGTATTTCTTCCGTCTGAGGTGGTATCTGGATCTGCAGAGAGGAAAACAACATGCTTTCACCTGAAAATACAGCTTTCCACCCCAACTCTGCTGCTCTTTGTCTTATAATATCCTTAATAAATGAAAAATTATCTTACTGACTTGGTCAATCACATCTTTCTTTGCAGACCTCCACAGTATCTTGGCGATGAAGCTGTAGAGGGGCTGTGGGTTCTTCTTGCAGTAAGGGCGATAGAGAAGTCGAACCCACCAGTGTCGGACACAGTAAGGTTCAAAACCAAGAAAGACCACTAACCCAAACAGATCTGAAAAGGAAAACAAAACAAAACACATCAGGAATTGCTGTTTCTCAAAAGGACCAATACTGTATGATCCCCACTCACTTACACACACATGGCCGTCAAGTCAACTCAGACTTACAACAACTCTATAGGACACAGTAGAACTGCTCGTAGGATTTCCAAGGCTATAAAACTTTACAGAAGCAGATCGCCACATCTTTCTCCCATAGAGTAGCTGGTGGTTTGCACTGTCAACCTTTTGGTTAGCAGCTGAGTACTTTTAACTACTGAGTCACCAGGGCTCCTTTGTATGATCCTACTTACGGGAAATCCCTACAACAGGCAAATGCCCAGAGATTAAGCTGTGTTAGTGGCTACCGGAAGGCTGTGGGTGGGGAAGCAGGGAAGCACCCCTTCTGGAGCACTGAGCTTCTGTTAGGGGATGACAGAATTTGAGAATGATGGTTGCACAACACAGTGAAGGTAATTAGTGCCACTGCCTTGTTCACAGAAAAATGGTCGATATGACAAATGTTTCATGATATGTACTTCACCACCACACACACACACACACACACACACAAATAGCTGCTTCTGTATTTCTTCACAGCCAGTTTGAATATTCTCTTTCACAGACATTACACATCACACAGTACTTTCCATGAATTAAATGCAGACTGTACAGGCTCTTGAATCTGAAATTCAATTCTAATTCAACTTACTTTACTAATCATTTGCTTTGTTCTAAGTTCTGTGTTAAGGAGTTCTGGTGGCACAGTGCCTAAGGCATCTGACTGCTACCCAGAAAGTTGATGGTTCAAACTCACCTCCTGCTCTGCAGAAGGGAGACTGGGCAATCTACTTCTCTAAAGATTTACTGCCTTGGAAACCCAACGGGGTCTCCATGAGTTGGAATCCACTTGATGGTAGTGGGTTTGGTTTGGTTTAAGTTCTGTGTTAAGTTCTAGAATGTTAGAAAGTTTATAAAATTACACAAAACTTAGATTTAACTCAAGTCTAAAATTTCCAGCAGAGTTAAAACCAGACAACTACTTAAATTATGTCTGATCAAGAGATCTGTAAGAAGTACCGAGCTCTAAATCTAACAAATACAAGGCCTACTGGAGGGGTGGGTGGTGGTGGGAGGGGCTCTAAGCACACAGGGAATGTGGAGAGCAGTCTCTAATCCAATACTCTTGGTACTCTTAGATCTAGTAAATCCACTTCCAGGAAGAAAGCCTAAGGCAATAATCAAAAATACACTCAAAGTTTCTATCATACAGTGATGTCCACAGCAAAAATATAAAGCATAAAATGCATCAAATAGGAGTAATAAGTAAATTACAGTAGTTCCATAAAATAAAACTATATTTCTTTACTGAATATTTAAACATATGGAAAACCGCTCAGGATACAATGTTAAGTAGGAAAAATGGAACATAAATTATGCATGTGAGCTCAAATACATAAACATATGCATAGAAGAGACCAGAAGAGTGGTTATATCTTCAAACGACGAGTATGGCTCAATGTTAATTTTTTGATCATTTCCTGTATTGTTGAAAATTTTCACAATGGGCATATAGTCCCTTTAGAAGCAATCAAAAAAAAAAAAAAAAAAATGCCATGACCCTATCTATCACATTTATTCCAAAGATGACAACAAATATGTAGGTTGAGTGAAGTTATTCTGATGGTTCCTGGGAGTAAGGCAACATCATAAACTACTACATCGTTGCCCACATGCAGAGATCTGCATAGTCACATCTCCAGCTCAAATCAATCCAACTGCTTACATGCTATCACTTCTCTGCGGTACCAAAGACACCTATGCAAAACCAAACCCATAATCTTTTTGAAGAAACATACTTCTCTTATTCAATGTGAGCAGTATCACCATCCATGAAGTCATGGAACTCAGAAATCAACACCAAACCTTATTAATTTTTCTTGATCTTTCACATTTACTTACTTTTTAAAATTTCCTCAGGATTCTTAGTCCACATCTCTTGTACCAAAGTACCAGCATCACTTGCCTGAATTACTGATATAGTAGCCAATCAACTGACAACCTAATATCCACTCAACTGTCTTTCCAACCATTTTCTATGCTGAAACTAGACTGATCTTTTAAATGCAAATCAAATCATGAGCTCTCACTCCCCACCCCCATGCCCAATTTGTTTAAATCATTTCAATAGTTCCCACTGTTCTTTTTTATTTTTATTTTATTTTTTATTATTTTTTCTATACCTTCTTTTTATTGATTGTGATTTGGGTGAAGATTTACAGAGCAAATTCACTTTCCATACAGCAGTTCACATATACTTTGTCTCATGTCATTGACCCCAGTTTACCACAATGCAACAGCTCCCCTCCTACTTCCTCCCCATAGTTACCTCTTCCCAGTGTCCATCCCTCCATACTCTCCTGCCCCCTGAGCTATCTCCCTGTGCATAAGCAGCCCTTCCTTCTCCCACGATTGTTCTCTCCAGGGTGTGTGTCTACTTGAGGTAAATGTTTAACTCATATGCCTGTACTTTGTTTGGCTGGAAACCACAGGTGTGGGTTCAATTCCAGACCTGAAGGGCAGCTAGGGGCCATAGTCTCAGTAGTTCCACCAGGCTCTATTGGACCAGCAAACCTAGTCCTCACCTTTTTTTTTTTTTTCTTCCCCCTCCAAATGATTTTGAGTTTTGTTCCACATGTTCTCCCTCTCTATCCAGGATCTCCTACATCCCTTCCAAGTGGATGACAGTGGTAGCCGGTTCCCACTGTTCTTAAAAAAACAAACAAACCCAAATTATCATGGCCTACATCATCTTCCACGGTCCCATATTCACTCATCTGTTCAGTCTCTCAAAGCACCATGCTCCCCCTAAGCTCTAGGCACTGTAGCTACATTGGTACTCTTTCAGTCTCCTCCTGCCATACAATCTTTACATTTTCTGTTTCTTTTCTCCCTCTTTATCTAGCTCATGCTAATGGTTCAGACCTCAGTTCAGCTGTCACTTGCTTCTGCATCTAGGTTAAGTCCCTCCATTATGTGATCTCATGTTGCTGTTGTTAGGTGCTGTCAAGTCAGCTCTGACTCACAGCGACCCTATGCACAACAGAACAAAACACAGCCTGGTCCTGTGCCAGCCTCACAATCCTTGCTATACGTGAGCCCATCACTGCAGCCACTGTGTCACTCCAACTCATTGAGGGCCTTTCCTTTCTTCACCAACCTTCCACTTTATCAAGCATGATATGCTTCTCCAGGGAATGGTCCCTTCTGACAACATGAGCAAAGTAGGTGAGACAAAGTCTGGCCATTCTCACTTCTAAGGATCTATATGATCTCATAGAGCCAGATATCTTTTTTTTCTTCATTTTTATTGTGATTTGGATACAAGTTCACAGAGCAAATTCACTTAACATAATACAGCAGCTCATATACACTGTATCATGACATTGACTGCAATTTCCCACAATGCAACAGCTCCCCTCTCTGCATAGTTACCTCTTTCCTGTGTCCTTTAAACTCACTGCTGTCAAGTCAGATCCAACTCATAACGACCCCTCCTTGGGTTTCTGAAGCAATATCACTACAGAAGTAGATTGCCCAATCTTCCTTCCCAGGAGTAGCTGGTGGGTTTGAACCACCAGCCTCCTGGTAACAGTCAAATGTCTTAGGCATTACGTCACCAGAGCTCCCACGGCAATCTATTTCCGCAGTGATACTGCCTCAGAAACCCAAGGAGGGGTCGCTATGAATCGGATCCGACTTGATGGCAGTGAATTTTTAAGTTCTGTGTCCTTCCCTCCCATGCACTCCTGCCTCCTGAGCTGTCTCCCTCTGCATACACAGACCTTCGGTTCTCCATGATTGATCTCTCCAATGAGTGTACCTACGTAATGTAAATGTTCAGCTCATATGCCTCTCTTTCGTTTGGCTGGAAGCCACAGGAGTGAGTTCAATTCCAGAACCAGGTATCTTTTTATGAAACCTATGATACTTAGAATTTTATATTTTTCTGTAACATTTATCTGTGAAAAGTTATCTTGAATGTAATGTTACACACTTCTAAAACCAAACCAAACCAAACCAACTCACTGTGATTGTGTCAATTCTGACTCATAACAAACCCAACTGGGCTTCCAAGGCTGTAAATCTTTACAGAAGCAGACCACTTCATCTTCTCCGGACTGGCTGGTGGGTCAAAGCACCAATCTTTGGTTAGCAGCCAAATGCCTTAACCACTACACCATCAGAGCTCCTTATATATGTATCTAAGTAGTTAATAATATATTTTCTCTAGGCTATAAGTTCTGTAAAGTCAGGAATCTTTATCTATTTTTGCTTACATTCTCACAAAGAATAAAGAACCAATAAAGAAGCCACAAAAGACTTGAGTTATATAAATCAACATGTTAAATGAAATGAAAATAAGTATGTAGATAAGTAATAAGGACAAAAGTAGCTACAGTCGAAGGAACTTCCATTAATTGAATTATGTTTAATGCGTGCTAAATGTTTAGATTTCATTTCCCTTGGATCCACATTCAACATCCACGGAAGCAGCAGTCTAGAGATCAGATGTTGTATTGCACTGGGAAAATCTGTTGCAAAAGACCTCCTTAAAGCATTAAAGGGCAAAGATATCACTTTGAAGACTAAGATATGCCTGAACCAAGCCAATCATCTCATATACATGTGAAAGCTGGACAATGAATAAAGAAGAGTGAAGAAGAATTGATGCTTTTGAGTGTGGTGCTGGTGAAGAATTCTGAAAGTACCATGGACTGCCAGAAGAACTAACAAATATGTCCTGGAAGAGGTGGAGCCAGAATGCTCCCTAGAAGTGAAAGTGGCCACATTTCATCTCATCTACTTTGGTCATGTTATCAGAAGAGACCAATTCCTGGAGAAGGGTATCACTCATGGTGAAGTAAAGGGTCAGAGAGAAAGGAGAAGACCCCAACAAGATGGACTGACACAGTGGCTGCGACTATGGGCTCAAGTATGACATGGATTGTGAGGATGGTTCAGGACCAGGTGTTGTTTTGTTCTGTCATATACAGGGTCACTATGAGTAGAATGAGGGGCTCTGGTAGCACAGGGCCTAAGGCATTTGACTGCTAACCAGAAGGCTGGTGGTTCAAACCCACCAGCAGCTCCGTGGAAGGAAGATGTGACAATCTACTTCTTTAAAGATTTATTGCCTCAGGAACCCAATGGAGGTCATTATGAGTTGGAACTGACTCGATGACAGTGACTTTTTTTTTTTTTTTTTTTTAGTTTTGAGTTTTCATGAGTCAGAATGGACTGGATGGCATCTAACAACAACAACAAATGTTTTGCATATTTTAGTATAATTAATCCTTAAAACATTTTATTTTACAAAGAAGAAAGATCAGATTTTGAAAGTTTAAATAATTTATTTATGGACATACTACTAAAAAATAAGTCAGGATCTAAATCCAGGTTCACATATCACCCACAGTCAATGTTTTTTATATTCTACAAACAAGCACATCATATAGACAAGGAACAGAGAGGAGAGAAGGGGTAATTGGGCAGAGTTCTTGCTTATTTGACTTGCTACGTAGACTGATGTAATTTCAGCCTGCTTGCAGAAACATATTAAAGGCCTGGCAAATTATAGATGAAAACACTTTTGCCTCATTTTCTTGCCCAATATGTACCCAACATGGGACTGACGTGATCTCTGGATTTATTGCCAATGAACAAATTATCCAATCTGATTTCTCTCTTTTAGTCTATCTAGCATAGTGGTTCTCAATGGGGGTAGGCATGTTAGAGTATGATTCCCCTCCCCCCAGGAGATATTTGGATATGCCGGAAGATATTTTTGGTTATTATAACTGGCACCTAGAGGTTATAGGCTAATGATGCTGGAAAACATTCTAAATTTATAGGACAGCTCATCCCAACAGAGAATTATCTGGCCCAAAATGTCAATAGGGTCAAGATTGAGAAACCATGGTCTAGGGGAAAAAAAAAAAACAAAAAAAAAACACCATGAGATTTCCACTGAGTATAGTTAAGTCACAACAGGAAAACATTCCACTGCAACAACTGGGGGATGAGGGGAGAAACACTGCACATGATAACATCAGAGTGTTATGGAAGCAAAGAGGAAAGAGAATCTAAATTTCTAGAAGTTTGGACACTCCTGTCTTGAATGGGTTGGAGTCATGCAGAACTTGTTAGAAGTGATCACCTTGACTGTAGCAACAGTTTCGCAGATATACCTGTGTGTCAGAACTTTTCAAAGTTTACACTTTAAATATTTACAGCTTCACTATGTCATTTATACCACAATAAAACTGTTTTATAAAAAACAGCTCAAGAAAAAAATTTGTTCAGTGTTGACAAGTACTCAAAACACCTGTCAACATTTCCCACATCCCAAAACACCTATCTAAACAATTACTGCATATTCTCTCAACGTTACAATGAGTAAAAAGGCACACCAACGGTCCATTCTTTCCCTGCTGTACTTTCTCAGTCAACTTCTGAACTGTTAACACCTAAATATTTAAAATTTTGACAGTTTCCAAATCTGAAAGCAGACCACTAAATGTGGCCTTTTAATGAGCCTGACAGTGAAATCATGGCTCTATTATTTATGGATACAGCCCATGAAAATTATGGTCTGTTTTTATAGAATGGTTAACTGAAATTAATTTTCTTTTCCTTCCTCCCTCCCTCTATTAGTTTTTCCTCTTTTCTACCTATCACTTTACAACTCTGGCTTCAATTCAGACCTGTATCTAAACTGTTTAGGCAGATGCAATAATTGTTCAACAGAACAAACAGGATCACTCACTTTTAACCTGTCCTCACATACAAACAAAAAATCATCTGATTTTCAGTTAGAAAGATACATGCTTGAAACTATTAGGAGCCAACTGTAAATACATGTATAGTTAATAAACCACTACAATAGAATTTCAGGAATACTTTTACTCAGAATAATTAAGCTTTCCAAATACATGCAATATTTGAGGAAACCATGTATTACCTTCCAGTCCTCTCTGCACTGGAGTACCACTGATGCACCACCGATTAATCCCACTCAAACGCTGAGCCATTTCTGCAGCCTGATGAAACAAGTAAAAGAGAAATTAAAAAAAGAAAAAAAGACACAGGAAGAATGCAAATGTTTGCTCATGAAAACCTACACTTCAGTTCAGAGGCACCTACTCTCAATAGTTATCACATTCCATATTTAATGTCATATTCAATAGGCCATCTTCTAGTATAGTGGTTCTCATTAGCTAGAGGCTGTTGTGTACTCCCTGAAGAGGAGGGGTAGTTCAAGCCTGTGTAGACCAAAAACATGCAAAAATGACTGATCCATTCCCTAGACCACTCTTCCCTTAGATGTGAACTACAAGATTAAAAATTTGATTTAGGTTACATACTGGTCAAAACATGACAAAGAAGGCTGAATCAAAATTGCATTCTCTAAAGCAGCATTTTCTCTTACTATTTGGTCTAAGTCAACTTTGGCCAAAGCTATCAGAGCCTACATGATGAGGTATCCAGTTCTCAGAAAGTCTCTAAACAGTTTACTTTGGTCTACAACACATGTAAAGGGACATCTTCTTTAAATACATATGGCATTACATATAGAACAAACACTGACAGAGTAGTCAAATAATTCCAGTGGGTAATATAGTTAATGTTGAAAGGGAAAAACAAATGTAGAATGTTTAACAGCAAACTTCTGATCAGTATCAATGCCGTGTGAAACTACACTAAAGAAACAAATTTTCTAAGGACATTTTCCCCTAGTCCTTTTCCCTTTTTCCTTCCCTCAGTAGGTTTTCGAGAAAGTCTCACTTTTACAGCAGGGCATTCAACCATCTGAGCTTCATCAAGACAGATCCTCCACCACTCCACAGCCACCAGGGGGCTGGGGATGGCCATATAGCGCTTCTGGTTCCGTAGGCGACGCCCATCCTCACTGTTGCTATGTGGGATATCTACATAGTTTAGTTCTGAACGAAGGACATCATAGGTAATGATAACTATGTCTTGTTCTGCCAGAAAGTGAGGCTGTAAGAAACCATGCTTCTTCACACCTTGATATACCTGGAAAGAATCAGTGGAGACAGAGTTATTGCAAAAATGTTCATAAAAGATAGATGAAATATTCATTCAAGACAGTTACCGAGCCCTTTCCATTTGCTTAGGACCAGCCCAGGCTATAAACCACATACCACACCCATCTAGAGAAAGATGCATATTGGTACAGAAGACCAAGAGCACAAGCAGTGGGAAAGAACTTCTAACAGAAGTGAATGTCAGAGCATCACCACCTGTCATTACTGTAGGGAAATGACTGATTCTGTGGCTGAGAAGGTAAATTCAGAGAGGACTTGAAACTTAAGGTACCTCTGGAAGAATACTTAGGAGTTGTCAAAGGTAGAGAAATGGGGAAAAGAACTTCTCAGCAGTTCATGTAAACAGCATTTGCAAAACCACAATGGTATGAAAATGCAGAGCAACAAGAGCTATCATTCACCGAATGAATGTCTTTCAAGTTTCAGATTCTGTGCTAAGAATTATCTCTAATCTTCAAGAACAAATCTGTTAACAGGCGTTCTTATTCTCCTTTGACACATCAGAAACATAAAGTGACTTGTTCAGAAGGGGCAGAGACGAGATTACCCCAAATTTGCTGACACTACAGAACAGAGCTCCTCAAGAGTAAAGATTAACACCGATCCTTCATGCCTCTGATCGATCCTTCATGCCTCTGATCGTGCTTTGATAGTACAGAAAACTTCAACAATGTTTGTGTGGGAAGAAGGGAAAGCAAAACAGGGAAGAATACTGCTACTGCAAACACTAACACTGACTGTTTACTATGTGCCAGCACTCTGTCATACTGTAACATCTCCACAAGCCTTGTGAGCAGATACTATTTTCAGTTTAGCAAAGTCCCTGGCACATAATGGATGCTTGGTTAGTACTTGCGGAATAAGTGCGTTCTTATTTTATAGATGAAGTAACAGAGGTGTCAGAGGATGATTCTGGAGCTAAGTGTGACAAATCCGAGAAGGAGCTACTGTTACACAATGTTGCCTTAGGATTGTACCTCTGAGAGAATAAGTGCTTATGCAAAACTTTTCTATTTGCATGATCAAAGATATTGTAAAAGTTCTCAGAGGTACGGAACAGGCATGTTCAGTGACCACTGAGAAGTTCAGTGTGTCTTAAGTATGGGGTCCTTTTTGTGAAAATATAAGGAAGGTTGAGGCCATACTGCAAACATACTTAGATACTATGCCAAAAACATGGGCTGTATTCTGATCACAGAAAGAGGCCTGCAAGGGTGTTAAAACAAGGACAAGGGAATGGACACAATTAGGTCTGTGGTGAGAAAGCATCTTGGTGTGGAGGGGAGGAGTGGGGACACAGAAATGAAGGGAGAAGAGAGCTTAGGACCAGGGTCTGAGAAACTCGTACACTGAAATGCAATAAGGGATGAGGCAAAGAGGATAAAGGATCCAGAAAAGAAATTAAAGTCAAGAAGGCAAAACACTAGAGAACCAGGGAGGGCATTCTGTTACTCAACTCTGAAGTGGCCCCCCCAGATATTTCCACTCAAAAGTGCTTTAACTTCTAACCCTCTGAAGTCAGAAAAGAACAACAGTCTATGTAATTTTTCATTCTCAATTTATCTTTCAAACTCTGATTTAATAGTATGGTCTCATTTCATTCATTTTTAGACAAACAGGAAAGCAATAAAAACTATAAAAAATCATGAAGAAGCAAAAATTTGTATTTTCTGATCCCTCCATACTCAGTATTTACAAATGTGGCTTTGGTGATAAAAATGACTAGAGATCACACAACAGAATTTTCTAAGACCAACTACTTATTCATTGCAAATACCTTTTTCAACATCATTAATAGTGACTATATATGTGAACCTCATCAGATATAATACACAGAAATTAAACAGACTATACCTGTGGAAAGAGATGGTGGAAAAGCTCAATATGATCAATCAAAACAAGGCCAGGAGCTGACTGTCAAACAGACCATTAATTGCTAACATCCAAGTTTAACTTGAAGCTGAAGAAAATTAAAACTAGTCCACAAGAGCCAAAATACAACCTTGATTATATCTCACCTGAATTTAGAGACCATCTGAAGAACAGATTTGATGTACTGAACACCAATGACCAAAGACCAAATGAGTTGTGGGATGACATCAAAAACAGCGTAAAACATGGAAGCAATTAGTCCATGATACTGGTGGACCATGAGAACCTCAGCCGACATGAGCCTGAGACCAGAAGAACTGGATGATGCCTGGCTACCTACCACTGCCACCATCTGGAAAAGGAACCATGCAGGAGATTCTGGATAGAGTGGGAGGAAGATGTGAAACAAACCTTAAAATTATAAAAAAGACCAGGCTTACTTGTCTGACAGAGACTGGTGAAACTCCTGAGACTATGGCCCCTGGCCACCCTTTGGGCCTAGAACTGAACTCACTTCTGTGGCTTCCAGCCAAACAATAGACAGGTATATATGAGGTAAACATTTATACCAGGTAGGTACACCCCTTAGAACAATCAACCATGTGAGACCAGAGGGCAGTATTTTCACAGGGAGATACCTCAGGGGGCAGGAATGAATAGGAAAGGACACAGGAAAAAGGTAACCAGGGGGAGGAAGTGGGAAAAGAACTGTTACATTATGGGGATTGCAATCAATATCATGAAACAAAAGATGTATGAACTGTTGTACTGAAAATGAATTTGCTATGTAAACTTTCACCCAAATCACAAATAAATAAATAAAGAACATCATACATGAAGAAAGCAAAAGGTCATTAAAAAGACAGGAAAGAAAAAGAAGACCAAAATGTGTATCAGAAGAGACTCTGAAACTTGCTCTTGAATGTAGATTAGCTAAATGAATGAAAGAGATGATGAAATAAAAGAACTGAAGATTTCAAAGGGCTGCCTGAGAAGAGAAAGTGAAGTATTATAATAAAATATGCAAAGATCTGGAGTTAGAAAGCCAAAAGGGAGGAACATGCTTTCTCAAGCTGCAGGAATTAAAGAAAAATTCAAGCCTTGAGTTGCAATACTCATGGACTCTGTAGGCAAAATACTGAGTAACACAGGAAGCATCAAAAACGATGGAAGGAATATATTGAGTCACTGTACCAAAAAAGCAGTGGTTGACCCTCAACCATTTCAGGAGGTAGCATAAGATCAAGAACTAAATATTGAAGAAGTCCAAGCTGCACTGAAGGTATTAGCAAAAAACAAGGAAGATATGGAATATCATTTGAAGTGTTTCTACAAACAATGCAACTCTGGAAGCACTCACACATCCATGCCAAAATTTGGAAGACAGCTACCTGGCTAAACCACTAGAGCAGATCATATGCATGTCCATTCCAAAGAAAAAGTGATCTGATGGAATGTGGACATTATCGAACAGTATCAGAATCACATGCAAGTAAGAGCTTGCTGAAGATAATTTAAAAATGGCTGCAGCAGAACATCAAAGGGAACTGAGAATTTTTGGCTAGATTCACAGGAGGATGTAGAATGAGGATATCCTTGCTGATGGCAGATGGATCCTGGGTGAAAGCAGAGGATACTAGAAAGATGCTTCCCTGTATTTTACTGACTACGCAAAGGCATTCTATTGCGTGGATGACAGCAAATTATGGGTAATATTGTGAAGAACGGGAATTTCAGAGCACTTAATTGTGATCATGTGGAACTTGTACACAGACCAAGAAACAGTCACTTGAAAACAACAAGGGGATATTGCATGGTTTAAAATCAGGAAAGATGTGTGTCAGGGTTATATCCTTTCCCCATATTTTTTCATCTGTACGCTGAGCAAATAATCCAGGATGCTGGACTACATGTGAAAAAAATGTGGCATCAAGATTGGAGGAAGATTCATAACAACCTCTGATATGCAGATGACACAACCTTGCTTGTTTGAAAGCAAAGAGGACTTGAAGCACTTTCTGATGAAGAAGAAAGACTAGAGCCTTCAGTATGAATTATACCTTAATATAAAGAAAACAAAAATGTGCACAACTGAACCAATAACCAACATCATAAGAAACAGAGAAAAGACTGACGTTGTCAAGGGTATCATTTTACTTGGACCCACATCAACATCCATGGAAGCAGCAGTTAAGAAATCAAACGACATTTTGCATTGGGCAAATCTGCTGCAAAAGAAGTGTTTAAAGTATTAAAAGACAAACATCACCTTGAGGACTAAGGTACACCAGACCCAAGCCAAGGTAGTTTCAACTGCCTTATATATGTGCAAAAGCTGAACAATGAATAAGGAAGACCAAAGAAGAACTGATGTCTTTGAATTATAGTGCTGGCAAAGAATACTGAATATACCAAGGGCTGCCAGAAGAACAAACAAATCTGTCTTGGAATAAGTCCAGCCAGAATGCTCCCGAGAAGGTAGGATGGTGAGATTGCATCTCATGTATTTTGGACATGTTATCAGGAAGGATCAGTTGCTGGAGAAGGACATCATGCTTGGTAAAGGGGGGGTCAGCAAAAAAGAGAAAAACCCTCAACGAGATAGACTGACATAGTAGCTGCAACAAAAGGCTCAAACACAGCAACAACTTTGAGAATGGCACAGAGTCGGACACTGTTTCCTTCTGTTGTAAACTGGGTCACTATAAACTGGAACTGACTCAACAGCACCTAACACCAGTCATCCTTCTAAAGAGCCCAAACTGTCTCACCAAGACTCGAAGAGATGATGACCTCACATGCCTGTTGATCTCATCCACCCACTGATGACAGATGGAACTTGGGGAGATGATCAGAGTTGCTCGTGTTGATACTGGCTCCATTGCAACAAGGCAGTGGGGGCAGTAAAAAGGCTTAATTTTCAGATCCTCCTCTTCATAATTCACACATTTTGCATGCTGCCATAGGTGGCACTTCAGGCACTGAACACGAGGCTTAAGGTCTATCTGGCCAAGTTCACCACATATGCACTCAAAGTGATAATCAGCAGAGTTATAGGGACTCATGTTACAATGTGGCACATCACCACCACCAAGTGTTAGCGATTCAGCATGGTCCTCCGGGTTGGATTCCTGCTGAACTTCAGACACACATGCACTTTTAGGCATGGTAGCATCAGTCATTCCAGAGTCCCTGGCAGCTGGACAGTGTCCTTCTGAGTCAGGATTAATATCAGACTGACCATTTCCTCTTCTGGTGGATGAAGCAGGCTTTTTCCTCAATTTAGCACGATTCTTCCTGGGCTTATAGTAATAATAGTAAGGATCATCATCATCATCATCAGTGTTTGATGGCAAGTATTCAGAATCAGTGTCCTTGCTTCCTGATTTTCTGGTTTCTTTCTGAATTTTCCTTGGACTCCCTATTGCCTATTAAAAAAAGAATTAGTTAATAATTTCAACACAGGCAAGTTTTTTAAATTAAATTCCCAGCTTTATCTATGTACTACATAGGAAACTTCAGCAGCCAGTTTTTGCTACCCTTTACATCAGGAGAATCACTCCTAATCAGTGGCTTCCCGTCTGTCCTAAGAACCCTCTCTGTATCCTGTAGGTCAAAAAAGAAAATTAAAAAAAGAGGTAGAACATGCTACCATGCAAGAGAGATTTGCAGAGAATAACGAGAAGAAAGATAAGGAGACCTACTAATAGCTCAGTAGTAGCTTCTTATAGTCTGTCTAAATAAATAAAATATGTTAGTAGCTTATAACACATACATACAAAATAAGGCAATTACTAAGACACCAAGAAATAAAATACAGTATTTAAAGAAAGCAAGCCAATCTATTAATTATTACAACTAGCAAATAAATTCCTTCTTTCTTCCTATGCTCCCTGCTGCGATCATTCAGTGAATTCCAACTCTGTGCTAGATATCATCTCCATTTGCACTGGAGACACAGGGACAGTTATGTGTTGCTTAACATCTGTTCAGGTAACATCTAAGCCCACGTATGTCTGTGGTCCCATAAGGTTACAATATTGTTGTTAGGTGCCTTCAAGCAGGCTCCCATTCATCACGACCCTGTGTACAACAGAACTAGACGCTGCCTAGTCCTGTGCTCACAATACTTGCTATGCTTGAGCCCATCATTTTAGCCACTGTGTCATTCCATCTTGTTGAGGGTCTTCCTCTTTTTTGCTGACCCTCTATTTTACCAAGCATGATAAGATTATAATAGAATTCAGAAATCCGTGGCCCTGTAATGTGCTAGTAGAGCTCAGAAATCCTGATTGGAGTATGGGATATAGCAGATGTACTTTGCTAAGCATGGAGATATGATCTATTTCTCACTAGCTTTCTAGTCCATATGGGGCCTGGTGTGGAAGAGGATGCGGGTTCTGGCGTTCATTCATCCACGGCTGCCTGTCCTGCTGTTTGCCACAGATAGGAGCCATTCCGACACCAAGCCGTTGAGTGGGATTACCCTGATGAGACTACTGCCCCACTTGGCCAGGGTATCACACAGGGTGTCACACCCTATGTGTGACAACTGGGCCTAGGCTTTTGGTCTCTGACAGTGGCAGCTGACTAAATGTCTGGCTGAGGCAGTGATAGGAGAAGGAGGAGAAGAAAAGGCATCCAGGGTGTTCTACAGAGAATTACTTGGTCTTCTGGCCTTGGTCTTTGTTACTCTCACATTACCAGGTAGAATTATGTAAATGTGAGGTGTCTATGGGCCACCAAGGGGACTGGATAGCTTGTTAGTAATGTAAAAGGTACAAGACACCCTTGTGAGAGTGGGACCACGGAAAGAAGGTATATGGAACCTTACTGTTGGGATCGGTCAGTTTTGTCATTCGACTAGGTTTAAAGTGAGCCCTCCTAGAGGCAGAAAAGGGGTTCTCACTACCATCAAGACAGAGAGTAGTCAGGAGTAAAGCATGTCCTTGGACCCGAGATACCTGTGCTGAAATGGCAGAGAGACAGCAGCAGGAGAACTGAGACACCAGCAGGAGACAGAGCAGTGGGCTTGCTTGCCCATGGAGTGAGAAAGCTGAGTGCCTTTGGGCAGAAGGCTCGTTGGCAGAGTGGGGCGCACCTACTGGCAGAGCTAAAACAGCTTTGTAACACTTGCTCCAACAGAGCAGAGGCCAAGCTGAGAGGCAGAGGGCCAAAGAGAGGCATGGCTGAGGGGAGGCTGTCCTGATTGAAGAACTGTATCATGAGCATTCCTGAACCTGTTACTTCCCTAATAAATTCCATAATCGTAAGTATAGTCTCTAAGTCCTGTGTGGCCACTGCAATGCATTATCATACCCAGCAGAGAAGTAGAAAGTTCTGTGGGAAGAACAGTTGGGGTTGGAATTGGTAAAAAGATTGGAGGGTGGCAGCATGTCTGACTTCTACCTCACAATAATCAGCTTTGGCCTGTCGCTGGTGATTCTGTCTCCCTCTTGTTAAATTACTGGAGGCTGGAGGATGCCTCCATGCCCTTTTTGCACAATGGGAGGAGGTGGAGATGAGTAGGTGGGGCTAGAAGAGTTTAAAGCCCGTTAGTTAGGTGGACAGGGAAGGGAGTCAGGGAGGAAAAAGGGAAGGGAGCCAGTGGCAAGGCGGGCCAGGGACTGGGCAAAACTCTTGGAGACCAGGCAGAGACCATGCAGGAGAGCAAGTAGTAGAACTGAAGTTTTTGTGTAGTCCCTTGGTGCAGTGGCAGTGGCATGGGTCCTGAGCCCAATCAATGACCTTCTACATGCTTCACTCCTGTACGTAATAAGATGTTTGCACAACATCCAAATCACCTGTCTTATTCCACAGAATGTATTGTGGACATTAAGCAACACATATCTGTGTAATATTTGACCCCTGGTCTCAAAGCAGTTTAGTGGAAAATAGAAGTTAATAGGATAGACAACTACAACAGAAATTGACCATGGTTAAGTATACAGGATATTACAGAAACATATAAGAAGGGTAACTATACAGTTTGGGTGACAAGGGAGAGGCAGATGCCAGAGGAAGCTTCCTGGAACTGCTGTCAGAACTGAGATTTAAAAGATGAGTTAGGACACTTGACACTCAATCAGTGACAATGATGTGTGAGATTTTTTTTTTTTTTGGTGGCAGCAAGATTATTAAAGGTACAGTTCACTGAGGACTTCCATCCTTACTTTTCGTCCAGCCATTCCTGTTACAGTAGCCAAGACAGTAGCTCCACATTTTGACTTGCTATCATCAGTCTTTCCCTGATTTAGGGTTGTAAGTATCATAACTATTACCTTATAAGCAAATTCAAATTACTGTTCCAACAGAAGCAGTTTTATAACAAAATGTAAAAATTTTACAAGATGATGATATAGGGAAAATTAAAATTATATAAAAGATTCAAAATGTATGTAAAATTTAAGGGATTGTTTCAAGTTTGGGACAAACTTTTTAACTGTTTAAAACAGCACAATTAGAGTGGGTCATGGGGTCTGCAGGCTGGGGACCATGGTTGTTGGGGACATCAAGTACAATTGGAACAACATGGTATACAAAAATATTGTTCTACATCTTAGATTGGTGAGTACAGTGAGTGAAGTCTTAAAAGTTTGCAAGTGGCCATCTAAGTGGCATTTATGTCTCTCCTCATCTGGAGCAAAGAAGAGTGAAGAAAATCAAAGATGCATGAAATAGTTAGTCCAAAGGACTAATAGACAATGAGAACCTCAACTTATATGACCATGAGACCAGAAGAACTAGATGGCGCCCAGCTACCAGTGCTAACTGCTTGGAAAGGGATCAAAACTGGAGATCCTGTATAGAGTGGGAAAAATGTAGAACAAAACTCAAAGTCATAAAAAAAGACCAGACTTACTGATCTGACAAAGACTGGTGAAACCCCCGAGATTATGGCCCCTAGTCACCCTTTGGGCCTGGAACTGAACTCACTCCAGTTGCTTAATTCTCAGCCTAACAATAGACAGGCCTATGAGCTGAACATCTACACCAGGAGATGCACTCCTTAGAACAGCAACTGTGGGAGACCAGAAGAGCAGCATTTGCATAGGGAAAAAGGCACGGAGGCAGGAATACATAGGCAAGAAGGACACAAGGAAAGGGTAACTACAGGGAGGGAGGAGGAGTGAGATGCTGCACCGTGGGGAATGTAACCAGTGTCACAAAACAAAACAGCATGATTAGAACAGAGAAGTTATTTTAACTCTATAATATGCTTAACAAACCAACTAATTTTATACTTTATTTAGTGAATATTTATCAAGCATCTGCTATGCATTCTTCTGTGGGCTTAGTGGTAATAAAGTGTCTATTCTCATGGAACTTACATTAAGAAAGTAGCAAACTTAAGGCAGAAATGCAGATAGCCATAATTGCCTGTACTAACTAGTTGGTTTGTTAATTTGTTATTGACCTTCAGGCTACAAGAGCTTCAGGGTCAAGCCAGAATCTGCCAACTTATTCTATAAAGTGTCACATGCAGGTATTTCATAAATGCTCTATTACCTGCTTTTTAATTTTATCACATATGTCCTCTTCCTTATAATTCTTCCCCAATGTAAAAGTCCCAGAAAAACCATGGCCTTTGATCTGTTTCACAAGACCTTCAAATATTAAGCATTTCAGCATCCGTTTTAGAAGACTCCTATTCCGTTGAACATCATATCTATACATCGAACTCACATACTTATAGATGGAAAGGATGGACACTCCTTTTTTCCCATTCATTTCTTTTACAGCTGTCAATATCATCACACGTGTGGCTAAATGCAAAAGAATGTGGTAACTCAGTTAAACAAAGTTAAAAGAAAGTATCAGTTAATCTTAATCCATACTGAGGATCAAATTGAAAACATAAATCAAAAGATTTATTGCAGACATGTTGTCGATTAGTGCTATTTTGAAGAATATGTAATAAAAACACTGTTTCAACATATTATAAAATAAATTACTGAGATGGAAATAAAGATTATTCATGCTAGTTTGCTAATCTTGCAAACGATCATTCAAAATTAAAAAAACAAGAACAATGAAATAAACCTCACAATTATCTAAGTATATACTACCAATAGTAAGGGAAACATTCTCTTTAATAACAAAATCTGAAACAGCTGTTGTTGTTGTTAGGTGCTGCTGAGTTGTCTCCGACTCACAGCGACCTTATGTACAGCAGAACAAAACAATGCGTGGTCCTGTGCCAGCCCCATGATCCTTGCTATACCTGAGCCCATCATTGCAGACATTGTGTCAATTCATCTCGCTGAGGGCCTTCCCCTTTTTCCTTGTCCCTCCACTTTGCCAAGCATGATATCCTTCTCCAGGGAATGGTCCCTTCTTACAACATGACCAAAGTAGGTGAGACGAAGCCTGTCCATTCTCGCTTCCAAGGAGCAATCTGGCCACACTTCTTCCAGGATGGATTTGTTAGCTCTTTTTAGCAGTCCATGGTACTTTCAGCATCCTTCACCAACATCACAACTCAAAAGCATTGACTCTTCTTTGGTATTCCTTTTTCATTTTCCAGCTCTCACATGCATGTGAGGCAACTGAAAATACCATGGCTTGTGTCAAGCGCACCTTAGTCTTCAAGTAAACATCTTTGCTCTTCAGCACTTGAGAGGTCCTTTGCAGCATATTTACCCAATGCTATACGACATCTGATATCATAACTGCTGCTTCCATTGGTGATGACTGTAGAACCAAGTATGGGAAGTCTTTGACAACTTCAGTCTTTTCTCGATTTGTCATGATGCTGCTTATTGGTCCCATTGTGAGGATTTTTGTTTTCTTTATATTGAGGTGTAAACCATACTGCAGACTTCAATCTTCATCAGTAAGTGTTTCAAGGCATCCTCACTTTCAGTGAGCAAAGTTGTCATCTGCATAACGTAGGCTGTTAATGAGCCTTCCTCCAATCCTGATGCCACATTCTTCTTCACACAGCCCAGCTTCTCGGATTATTTGCTCAGTGTGGAGAGCCCTAAGTCTTAAAGGACTGATGGGACATGGTGAGTGACTAATTGAGCAACAGCTCTCAGAAATAGGTTGATACTTTCAGTGTCCCCATAAGGACTAGGACTAATGGGCCCTGGCTTTTGTGGGCTGATGCTGTTAGTGTCCCTGAAACTTGGGCCCTGCTCTTAGTACACCATCA